TTATAACCAGGGGCATGGACTGACAACTCATGGGGCCCCCGGGCAATAGCGGATCATGGGGCCCCTGTGTCTTTTGCCCAAACTCAAAAAAGCATATGAAAAAGGTACCAGGGGCATCTCATGGGGCACCCCTACTGACCCCGGGCCCTCGGGCAGTGCCCGAGTTTCCAAATGGTCAGTCCGCCCCTGGTTATAACTGATACTCAGGGTCTTATGGCTGTCATTGTTCCTCAGTCAGGGAGTTACTTGTCTCTTAGCTGTTGCATGAGAGACGAGTCATGTATCAGGGGTTCACCTTCTTCAGGCGCACTCCCATTCCTCCAGTCTTTCCCAAGCTGTCTCAGCTCTTCCTTCTGCTGTCGTCAAACAAGTTGATAGAGTTACTGACCAGACCAAATGTTCCATTTTCTGAGAACCAGGTGGTTCCATACCTGTTTTTTCAGTTCCAGAGGTGGGGAAGCCAAATTTTCTTTTCTCATATTGTGGGGGATCCTATCATTTGAGGTTTCTTGTCTCCTGGTCTACATCCTGTAGTTCCAGAAAAGATGGTTCATTCAACATCAATGGAGCATTTCCTTGGCAGGTCACTTGATCTGAATCCAGCTGGATAATGTCACACGCCTCTATCTTCAAGAAGAAACATAAGATCTTGCTTTAACAAGAATGGTAGGTTGAATTCTGAAGCAATTTTAGGTTCTAGTCTTGTTTGCTGTGCTCATCTCAAGTGTGGTCCATTGGAGATCAGGTTTTATCTTCTAATGGCTTCTGGGTATGGAGAAGCAGTCCATACACCTGGGTTCAATCCAAGACCTGCATTGCAGGTGGAAAACCTTTTTTTGGGGGGTCCCACAATAGCCCTGTTCAACAGAATGCTGAACAGGCTTGTCTCAAGGAGCCAGAATCTTCTGACAGTAGCAGGAAATGCTCCATGCATCTAGATCTAGGCCTTTTTTCCTTGTTCAGTTCAGAGGCTTAAGAGTGGGGGCTTTCTAGCAATCTTCCTTGCTCTGGATTGATCCAGGAGAATGTTCCTTGAAGATCCTGGTAAGCTTCTTGACTATTGCTCCAGGGACAGTTTGTCAGATCTGTGACTCTGAATGCTTGAGGATAAGTAGAATATTTCAAGAAGGTTTACCACGGGACTTTGCTTACCAGAATTTTGAAAAGGCACCCAACCGTGCAAATGATGAGGTAGCTCCTGGTGCTTCGTACTAGCCGAGAGTCAGATATGACTGAAGGGATATCACACACAAATTGATACATGCTTCATCATTCCCATGCTCTTACATTCCTTTTTCTTCCTCCAGTTTGTGCAGCAACTGGCTGATGGACACTTCCTGCTCCCTTTTGGCATCAGGAATAAGAAGTAACCAGTCTCTGAAGATACTCACCCTATCGTTCAATTATTTGATCTGTCCATACTTTGGTGACTTGATGCAGGCTTTGTCCAGTCCATCCTGCATGGTGGAGCAGTTGATGTGAGTATACCATCACTATACAGTGCATTTGATTTGCTCTCTTTCTTACCATGTGGGATGTGTCGTTGATGATCGTCAAGTATCGATGTTACATGGGGTGAGTCCTTTTTACTTTGTCTTCCTTTGGGAAAATAGAGCAGTGAGGGAGCAGAGGAAATGTAAGTATAGGCAGCTGTATGGGTCGTCATTAAAGAGAAAATCTGTTACTTTGGTATGATGGGAAGGATAAGGAAGAGAGGAAATGAACGAAGGAGGGGAAGGGAGTGAGGTAGGAAAGAAAAAAATACTAAGAAATAGTAGGGAAGGGAGCATGGAAATGGAGAGGAAGAGTGAGAGAAAGAAGCCCAGGATAGGAGAGGGGTTTGACAGGAGTGACTTTTGGGGGTGGGGTACCCCTGTGTGCTGCTCATGTTCCCTTCATTATGTTGCAAACCCACCCTGTGCCTGTTAAGGGGTACAGGGTGTGAATGTGAATGTCTATTGTGTATTAGTGTGTTGTCCTTTGTTCTCTGCCATGTGGTTGCCCATTATCCTCTGCCATGTGCTGCATCCCATTGTTCTGTGTCTTGGCTGGGTGGGTTTCCTGTAGCCCTTCCCACTGATGGGGCTGGACTGATGATGTGTTTCCTGTTCCTGGTTGTGTTTCCCCGCCCTGTGTATATATCTTGTGTTTGTGTAAAAATAAAGGAGTTGACTTCCTGTCTTAAGAAGAGTCTGGCACTGTCTTATTTCCTGCATGATCAGCGGGTGGTGTCCGGGGATTTGGGTCCGGTTCCGTTACAAGGAGAGAGGAACGGGAGGGGAGAGGGAGAGGAGGGAGAGAGGAAAGGGCTCTGGTGAGATTCTTCCTGGCTCCTGAGATCCCTGTGGAAGTTGAGAGGAGAGATCCCGGCTCTGGAGAGGAGATTCTTCCTGGGAGGGGGCGGAGAGAGGAACGGGAGGGGAGAGAGGAGAGGAAGGGAGGGGAGAGAGAGAGGAAAGGGCTCTGGAGACGATTCTTCCTGGAGAGGGGATCCCGGCTCTGGAGACGAGAGGAAAGGGATCCCGGAGGAGGAACGGGAGGGGAGTTGGAGAGAGGACTCTTGGAGAGGGGAGAGGAACCTACCTTTAATTGGAGAGGGGGCTGGAACGGGAGGGGAGAGGAGAGTGGAATGGAGAGGAAAGAAGAGAGGGGAGGGAATGGGGGAGGAGAGGAGGAATGGTGGAAGGAAATGAAAGAAGAATGTAATGGGGGAGAGCAAAGAAGGAATAGGGAGAACTGAAAAGAACAAAAGCTAAACTTGCATATTCTCAATATTATTTTTAAAAATGAGCAAAACCAATTTGGGGAAGAAATGATGCTTTTTTCTCCTTTCGGTCAGGCTACAGGATATTTTACTAGATGATGAACACTTCCGATTGATGATGCCTCTGAGTAACAATAAGAACCTCACATATCTAGACCTGAGGAGGAATAACCTTACGGGTGCCTCAACCCCTTACCTCCGAGAGCTCATCCTACAATCACCCAACCTGAAGAGGGTCAGGTATGTAGAACCAAGGGACGAGGAGATTGAGGGGTTTTAGTAGAATAGTTATTTGTGAGCCACCAGGAGATTATTAGTGTTAATTGTGTGCTTAAGTGAATATTAATTAAATATTGGATCGCCAAGGTGTATGAAATTAAACTAATGAATTCTTATACTGTACCGCGCTCCAATATTAAGGAACCTTTTGTGATTAACCTTTTTTGGTTGTGTGAATTTCTTAATATACCACCTATAATCCAATCATTACTTACTTCTAATAACAAATATTAATAAAAAATTAATGAAAAATTGGAATGTCAATTCTATGTGAATAAAATAATAACAAATTAATAAAACATAAAAAAAAAAAAAAAAAAAAAAAAAAAAAAAAAAAAGGGAAATGTCAATTATTTTCTTTGAATTTGAGATGGTGTTGTTATCTCAATTTAGTTAATGTGATAAGTCTGTGTTGGCAGCTTGAACTCTCCCTCGTCTCCTCTCTTTGTGCTTTCTTCACTGGCTGCTTTGTTTATTCCTCCATATACGGAACATGCAGAGAAGGGAAAAGAAACATAGTGTCTTATCCGGGATATAAGTGATTTATTGCTCTTTGATCTCCCACTCACATTGTGTAAATGTAAATAACGCTTTGAATACAATGTAACAAGATCCTGCTTCAGACAGCCTGGCATGTGTTTGCTTGCAGTAAATATACTCGCCGTTCCTCTGTGGATGCGTGATAACGTCACCGCCCCTCCCCTACGCGTTACCTACAGGGACTCGTAGCTTCCTCTGGGGGATGTGGATTTCAAATCCACATCCCCCAGAGGAAGCTACGAGTCCCTGTAGCGTAACGCGTAGGGGAGGGGCGGTGACGTTATCACGCATCCACAGAGGAACGGCGAGTATATTTACTGCAAGCAAACACATCAGCCAGGCTGTCTGAAGCAGGATCTTGTTACATTGGGTCAAAGCGTTATTTACATTTACACAATGTGAGTGGGAGATCAAAGAGCAATAAATCACTTATATCCCGGATAAGACACTATGTTTCTTTTCCCTTCTCTGCATGTTCCGTATATGGAGGAATAAACAAAGCAGCCAGTGAAGAAAGCACAAAGAGAGGAGACGAGGGAGAGGTTCAAGCTGCCAACACAGACTTATCACATTAACTAAATTGAATAACAACACCATCTCAAATTCAAAGAAAATAATTGACATTTCCCTTTTTTTTTTTTTTTTTTTTTTTTTTTTTTTTTTTATGTTTTATTAATTTGTTATTATTTTATTCACATAGAATTGACATTCCAATTTTTCATTAATTTTTTATTAATATTTGTTATAATCACATATAATTTTCTAATTCATATTTATAAATTAATTTATGTTAATTGTATATTTAAGCACCATAGAAGTAAGTAATGATTGGATTATAGGTGGTATATTAAGAAATTCACACAACCAAAAAAGGTTAATCACAAAAGGTTGATAATATTGGAGCGCGGTACAGTATAAGAATTCAGAGATTGAGGGGTTGTTATACTTTGGTAAAAAAAGGTTTTCAAATGTCAATTGGGTGGCACCTTATCTTCTCAAAATAGTGCCATATTGTGCTAATCCTATCCAAGGTTTGGTATAAAAATGGAGGAAAGAAAAAAGCTATTGAAAGACATATACAGTACCTGTTTCATCCTGGCAGCAGATCAGTTATTTTTTTATCTTCCTTTAACAGCGTGACAACCATTGCAAGGCACCCCTGACGATGTCATATGTTTTGTCCCAACCCTGTAACTGCCATGTTCCAAGGCGACTTGGCCGGGGAAGAGAAAGAAATGGAATATTATCATTTTAACCGCCTCCGCCCGCCATATACGGTAATGACGGGCACAAGGCGGTTCTCTCGTTCTGGGAGAACGTCATATGACGTCCTCCCACTTAAACAGCGCATGCGTGCCACCGGGGACGTGCAGAGCAGCGATCGGCAGTGCACTGTGTCCCTGGGACACAGCGGATCACCAATCAACAGAAAGAGCTGAAGACGTCGGCTCTGTCATGTGATCAGCTGTGTCCAGTCACAGCTGATATAATGTAAATAAGGAAATGCCGGTTATCAGCATTCCTGTCCTCACGTTGACAGATCGTGAGGAGAGGAGAGCCGGTAATCGGCATTCCTCAGAGGGGACATCTACACTGATCATCAGGGCACTGATGATCAGTGCCCTGATGATCAGTGTAGACCCATCAGTGCCATCTGTCAGTGTCCATCAATGCCACCTGCCAGTGCCCATCAGTGCCACATCAATGCCACATATCAGTGCTTTCCAGTGCACATCAATGTCACATATCAGTGCCCATCTGAGCTGCCTTTCAGTGCCACCTATCAGTGCCACCTATCAGTACTGCCAATCAGTGCCACCTATCAATGTCAGTCAGCACCGCCTATCAGTGCCAGTCAGTGCCACCTATCAGTGTGCGTCAGTGCCGCCTATCAGTGCCCGTCAGTACCGCCTAACAGTGCCAGTCAGTGCCACCTAACAGTGCCAGTCAGTGCAGCCTATCAGTGCCAGTCAGTGCCGCCTATCAGTGCCACCTATCAGTACCGCCTATCAGTGCCACCTATCAGTGTCCATCAGTGATGCCTGTCAATGCCCATCAGTGCCACCTATACCAGTGATGCCCTCCTCATACCAGTGCCCATCAGTGCAGCCTATCGGTGCCCATCACTGCAGCCTCATTAGCGCACATCAGTGAAGGAGAAAAATGTCAATGCCCATCAGTGCCACCTACCAGTGCTTCCTCATCAGTGCCCATCACGGCAGCCTCATTAGCGCACATCAGTGAAGGAAAAAACTTATTTAGAAAATTTTATAACAGAAACTAAGAAAAAACTTTTTTTTTTTTCAAAATTTTCAGTTGTTTTTGGTTTGTTTAGCAAAAGATAAAATTAACATACCACCAAAAGAAAGCTCTGTATCAAAAAAATAAGCATTTCATATGAGTACAATGTTGCATGACCGTGCAATTGTCATTCAAAGTGCAACAGCACTGAAAGCTGAAAATATGCCTGGGCAGGATGGGGGTAGAAGTGACTGGTAGGCGAGGGGTTAATAGTCGTCACCAGAACAGGTTGTGAGGGAAATCATCCAACAATGAAATCCGATGTCATGGTTACAACTGCCTAAGGAGGTGGCATTTGTGCTAAACTTGGGGAGTGCTCCACCTACTTCCTCTTGTTCCTCCGACATAAGAAGTGAAGGGAAATCTCCCTGGTGGGTTTAAACACATCAAAAACCTCTTTTCACGACATAAAAAATACTAAACAAAAGCTTTGACTTACTTTGTCCTATACATTCCTTTTTAATGACATTGTGGCTTGTTGAGTAATATTTTGCTTTATGACAACTGTGGAAATATTTTAATATCTGCTCATTTTCTATCCTTCTTCCTTCTAGCCTCTTTTTTAATCACAGCCTGCCCTTTGAAGACAGAAGATCGTTGCAAGAGCTGGAAGCTCAGAAACCAGGCCTTCATATTTCAGTTGGTTGAACTCAATGGACATGTGAACAATTGTGACAATTAGAGTTGTACAATTGCCATGATGATACATTCACTGTGACGATGAGCTCCGCAAATGTGGTGTGGGGATGAAACTCTGACATTTGCTGGGATGATGAGACTTGTACATTCCATGCGATATGAGACCCATACACTTGTCATGATGATGAGACTTTAAACCCTCACCTAGCTAGAGCAATGGTCTCCAAACTCCGGCCCTGGGGATGGATGCAGCCCTTTGCTTGCCTTTATCCGACCCTTGGGGCACTATTCTTCCAACTGATACCAATGATGGGGTACTATTCCTCCCACTAAAACCAATGATAGGACACTATTTCTCCAACTGCTACCAATGATGGGGCACTATTTCTCCAACTGCTACCAATGATGGGGCACTATTCCTCCCACTGATACCAATGATGGGGCACTATTCCTCCCACTGACACCAATGATAGGACACTATTTCTCCAAGTGCTATCAATGATGGGGCACTATTCCTCCCACTTGGGACACTATTCTTCCACTGACATCAATGATGGGGCACTATTCCTCCCACTGATACCAATGATGGGACACTATTCCTTCCACTGACATCAATGATGGGGCACTATTCCTCCCACTGACACCAATGATGGGGCACTATTCCTTCCACTGACACCAATGATGGGGCACTATTCCTCTCTCTGACATCAATGATAGGACACTATTCCTTCCACTGACACCAATGATGGGGCACTATTCCTTCCACTGACACCAATGATGGGGCACTATTCCTCCCACTGACACCAATGACGGGGCACTATTCCTCCCACTGATACCAATGACGGGGCACTATTCCGCCCACTGATACCAATGACGGGGCACTATTCCTCCCACTGACACCAATGATAGGACACTATTCCTCCCACTGACACCAATGATGGGGCACTATTCCTCCCACTGACACCAATGATGGGGCACTATATTCCTCCCACTGATACCAATGATGGGGCACTATTCCTCCCACTGACATCAATGATGGGGCACTATTCCTCCCACTGACATCAATGATAGGACACTATTCCTCCCACTGACACCAATGATGGGGCACTATTCCTCCCACTGACACCAATGATGGGGCACTATTCCTCCCACTGACACCAATGATGGGGCACTATTCCTCCCACTGACACCAATGATGGGACACTATTCCTCCCACTGACACCAATGATGGGGCACTATTCCTTCCACTGACTCCAGGGATGGGACACTATTCCTTCCACTGACGCCAATGACGGGGCACTATTCCTTCCACATACACCAATGACGGGGCACTATTCCTCCCACTGACTCCAATGACGGTGCACTATTTATCCCACTGACACCAATGATGGGGCACTATTCCTCCCACTGATACCAATGATGGGGCACTATTCCTCCCACTGATACCAATGATGGGACACTATTCCTCCCACTGACATCAATGATGGGACACTATTCTCCCACTGACATCAATGATGGGGCACTATTCCTCCCACTGATACCAATGATGGGACACTATTCCTCCCACTGACACCAATGATGGGGCACTATTCCTCCCACTGACACCAATGATGGGGCACTATTCCTCCCACTGATACCAATGATGAGGCACTATTCCTCCCACTAAAACATATGATGGAAAATTCTATTCCTACTGGCCCACATCCTAAAGGAGAGTAAACTGGCCCTCTGTTTAGAAAGTTTGGTGACCCCTGATCTAGAGAACTTCTCCATTTCAAAGAGCCATATAAAGTGTAATAAGGAACCCATTTCTCAAGGGCCCATGAGTCGAGGAACAAAGCTATAATTGATTCTTCTCATTATTTTCTACCTGTGTATTCTTAATACATTCCATACCAGTTTTTAAATATTCATTTTTCCTTCACCTCCCATTTCCATTCATGTCTGCTTTTTGAACCCATTGGAAGCTAATGAATATTGAAAAGAGCAAGTATTACACAAATGTACTGGGAAAAAAAAAAAAAAAAAAAAAAAGAGTTGAGCGAAAATAAACAGCTTTGATATCCACAAAATGCCTTATGGATGTTTTTGCAGAATGGGTTCATTCTGAAAATGCACTGAAGTCAACAATGGAGGTGGTTTTTAAGGGTGCAGTGGGTTTTAAACGGCCCCTGAGAGTTACAGAATCTCCTTTCATCTAACCTGGACCTGGTTCTTTCCTCTTGACCTTTCATTAGCTTTATGAGACGATTAATCTCAATTAATGCTCAAATACAAAAAAAAAAAAGAAACTAACACAAATTGAAAGAACACTAAGGGGTCTACCATTAAATGTTTACACACAAGATTTATACAACTTTCAATCAGAATTTTTAAACAGATTTTTAAATTAACCCCTTGATGTCAACGTCTGTCAGACACCGCCTGGCGGTACCTCTAACAATCCACAGGACAGTATCCCCCAGAGCGCAGAGTCTAAGGGTCCTGTTCTAATGATCGGGACCTGGGACTCCCGATTCTGTGTCACATGATCGCTGTGATAGTCTCTGATTGGCTATCACAGTGATCAGACAACAAATAACATACACATCTATGGTATCGCTGCGATCGTCAGCAGCTGGAGAATTTATTTTGGGTTGTTATTTGGAGGTAGGTTATGGTAGTAACAAGAAACACACAGCTAAATAAAAAAATGATTTTTTTTTTTTTTTACTATTTTTTTTTTTTACTATTTTGGGCCAGTTTTCCTTTGATAATAAAAAAAATCAGGAGATATCCATTACCATTTACTACCAAATGAAAGCCCAATTTGTCCTGAAAAAAGCGCGTTATAATTCACCCGGATGTACAGAGTAGTTGGGATGATATGTTTGGTTTTACTAACTGTAACGGAACCGGACCCAAACTGCAGTAGGGTATTTCCGTTAGACTCCCGCTTCCCTGTCCGAACACAGATCCAAGGACATCACTCTTGAACAAAACCAGAATATAGACTGCTTTATTTTAACACAGACACAAGATAAAAACATTCAAGGGAACAACCCACCTCCCTGCATAAGGACACAGGGCGGGGCAAATGAAATCTAGCAACCAGAGACACATCAGCAGACACCCCCCACCAAGCCAATACACAAACACATACATCCCATAATAATTTGCTCCCAAGTAAGACACGCAATAGAACAATGGGATGCACCACATGGCAGTAAACATCCCCCACCTATCTCTTATACATGTTTACACTGTCAGCACCTGTGGTGGTGAGCTCTTAATCCGCAGCTTGGGGTTCCCCAGGGCGCGGAGTCTAAGCCCCAGCCTGCTTGTTCACCAGAGCCCCTGATGGTGGGGGTGGACTTGGAGCAGGTTGGAACCAGGTCGCGGCCCCCAGGTACACCCAGCTGTGGTAGAAGAGACCGCTAGTGGGAGCAGGGTGCAATGGGAGTAGACTAGGAGATCCAGAAGACAATCTGAAGTCAGGACAGGCAGAAGACAAGCAAGGTCAGAAACGAAGCCGGAGTCGGTACACATGTGGACGATGTAGGAGAGAAGTCAGGGACAAAGCTGGGGTCGGTACACAGAAACGCTGGAACGGATACTTGGAGGAACACTGGGGAGCACAGACAACAAACTTTGCTCAGGCAATGTGGGACAGACTGAGCAGGTCTTAACCTCTTGCCGTCCGCCTGCTGTTTATAGCAAAACGGCAGGGCGGTGGCACTCCAGGGGCAGGGGTTGCCGTTCATAAACGGCACCCACCCTTTTTTCTAGCTGTGCGCGCTCCTTGGGAGCGCGCAGCACTGCAATCCGGTGCCCGCTGCCCATGGTACCTTTTTTCATAGGGTTTTTGAGAGTTTATGTCCTCCGGACACAGTGGAACACCGATCGTCGGACAGGACCTCTGTACAAGGTCCCGATCATGTGATAACTGATAGGCCACATTTTTT